CAATCTTTACAGAGATGGTACGCGACTGTGGCTCTCAGATCTCATTGAGAGTTGACGTCGAGTCTCAGCAGTACCGCTCTAATAAAGTTGTCAAGCAAGCGAACAAATTGTGAGAATGCCTGGGATTGCCGCTGCCTTCTTCCAACAACTTCTTTCTTTCATTCATGCTAATGTATTGCTCGAAGAAGAAAAATGGCGCCGCTAAGATTAAATGTGTTCGATACCGGAAGAATAAGAATGATGCGAGTAATAAAGTAAGCGGACATTGATGTGTAAATTGATGAAAGGTGAGGTAGTGATCCAAATACTTTCTCTATCATTTACGGAAAAAAAGGAAAGCTTGACAACAAGTTAAAAGCAGCCCCCGACATTCATCACTGGCCCTTGCTCTGCACATTTCTTTTGTCCGATTGAATCAGTCAAAACTTCGAAAGAAGATTTTCATCTCGACTTGGGAAATGCATCTTGCGATATGAAAGCAAAGGATCACACGTCGGCAAATGGAGGAATCAAGTCGAGCAAAACCCGTCAGCGGACTCACGTTCTTTTCTCAGAAGATTTTAAAAAGAAGCCAAAAGTCTGAAAAAATAAGGTCTAAGGATTGCAAATATGAAGCGGTCATGTTCTCATCAGCTTACAGTCAATTACCTCTTGGCTTCCTTCAAAAGCCTCGAAACTCCGCCAAGTGATATCGACCCAGTAACATTACTACTCAATATAATCTTTCGTTGTTTCCATTATTCCCATTGCTCTTGTCATTAAATCCATTTTTGATGTTCCCATCGTTCCCACTGTCTTAATTCCAACTAGCAAAGAACTTGCAAAGCACTTGTGCAAAGCTATATCTGGCGGCACACGACAAATATATGTTGACTGAGCCTCAGCAAAGTCATGAAGAAGCTACTCTGTTCGTTGGGGTCAAAGATGCAGCGCAAGATGCTTTAGTGGTGCTGTCTCAAACGAGAATATTGGAAGTGGTATCATTCTTGTCGAAGTTAGGTACAGTAAATGATAATATGAATTCTTGAAGAAATTTGCTGACAAGTAGATAGAGCAGAGTGTGACGGGTTACAAAGTGCCAGAACGATGGCTGTAGCGTGCCTGGTTGTCAAGAAAAAGGCATCTATCTATCGGTCTTGGCCAAGCCTCGCAGACTTAAAGTCATTCGCGTGCCACAGACAATTGAAGCGAAGCCCACAGGCCAGCATGATCATTCTCCCGGCCTGCTCTTTGCCTAGCACATAATACGGCAACGCATCCGTATTGTTCATACTTCCATGGATAGTCCAACTCATAGGGAGATGAAGAAGAGCGAGCGGCCGGAATCACAAGAAAAGGACAACGAACGGTCACGTCAACACTCAAGCTTCCGATGTGAAAGATCACAGTTGTTCCACGAATTAATCTTGACCTGTTCAGTGAATTTGCTTGATCTGTTGAACCATTTCCATTTGGTCTGCCACAATTGACGAGAACATGGCGAAAGTAATCGCGCCGATCTTCTTGACATTGATCAGCCTGCGCGCTTGAGAATCGACATTCCATAAAGGTGCGCGACAACATGCAACTTTTTGGCTCGCTCAGCACATTTGCCCCGCAAAATTTAGAGGCTCGACTCTTCAATTTGACGATGAAGATTGGCATTTTGGCTTCATAGTTATCGGTCGATATGGCCGACGTCCACGGAGAGCAGAGATAGGCGAGCATTCCTCGCTTTTGATCTCTCCCAGCCTCAGCGAAAGCGTAGATCAGCAAGGCCTCAGTTGCTAGTTTCGCTAAAGCTTGTCCCCAGCGTTGTCCCCAGCGAGGCCTGCATTCCTTCTCCCCCCCCCCCCCCCCCCCCCAAACATTCCCTGGAGGCTATGCTGAAGCTGCAATGTGTGACGATGATTGAATCGGCCACTTTTGCAATCATCTGCGGTGGAATTAACGCCCACCGCATCGCGGAATCTTGCCGGTCAGCGCATGTGCTTTATGATAGCACTCAGCTTCTTCTTCACAGCTACCGGGTCGCTCCTGGTCACAGCTCTGGCACTGATGACAGAGCTTGGGCACCCTTGCCAGCGAGTTATCGTAGTTTTGTGCAATCTCACGGGAGCCTACATCGGCGCCATTGTCGCTGACTGGATGTGCTATGGCTTCACAGCTTGGAACAGCACTCGGACCTGGAGAGTGCCAACTCAATTTTGGATTCCGCCTTTTCCTTCCAGATTGTTTTCCTCCCTTAATTTCACGGAGTCGCCGCGATGGCTCATTGCGAGCAGAAAAAGGAGCGAACTTTTGCGATTTCTCAAGTAGCGTGGAAATGGGCAAGTCAAGCAATCCCTCGTCGCTGCCAATACAGAAGAATCGGAAATTACGCGAGACTCGAGTCAGGAAACGGCCGCTTGGCTTGACTTCATGTCCAGCGGTCCGAATACCTGTCGTTTTTCGATTCTCTAGACCGTCGGTATTGACACGCAGTGGGCAGGAAACGGTGTTACCTCTTACATTCTCCCTCCATTTCCAAACTCTTCAATCTTGGCCAACAGACTTTGCTGAACGGAAGTTTGTTTATGTATTAATTATTTCTGACATCGCACTGCCCTATGTATGCGTCTAAGGACATCTTAGGTTTTCGACTCGCGTCTGAAAATCCAGGAAGGGCTGTTGTCGTTGACAGCAACGGAGGCGCTGTTTCCAAATTGTTGCTCATTGAGATGAGCATTTTCTTGCAGACATCGTTCGCAGGACAAGGGAGAGGCTATGCAGTCACCAAAGCTCTTCTCGGCGTGGATGGAGGCCCGTGCGGACACTTGCCGGCAACGAAGACCATCCTTCCTTTCCAAAATCTCCACTTACCGTTGGTGCAAAGCCTCCAAAGCTGGGGATGGTCTATGTAGAGCGAGCGAACGAAGGCTATAGACGCTATCAGCAAAGATTTCCTTAGAGGCACATTCGCCCTCCCGCATTATGGTTCGGTCATGGACTCGGCTTTGCAACCTTTACACGCAGATCGGGCCGACTTCAGGGAAGCTTGGATACTCAAATGCCATTGCAGAGGTCGGCGTTGAGAAATTTGACCACAGCGCAATTCTCGAAAAGATAGTCCAGATCTATCACTTTTTCGAACGTGATCAATCACGGCGACTGGCGGCCTTTGTTGAAGTCTCGCGCGCGACCTCACTCATCAATCGTCTATTAGCCGTAATATAAGGCTGAAAATGCTTTGTGTCCGAAGCTTAAGTCGACCGTGTTCCTCCTAAATCTTGCACCGCTTTCCAACGGAACATCAATTCTGGCAAGTTTCGGCCTCGAGAGCTGAGGGAGGGCAATTTCGAGAGAATTTCACCTGGTGTTTCACGAAGATACCCCACTTCAAAGAGTCAAATGGCCTTTGAAGCTGTATTACAGGAGAGGACCGTTGCTGTCATCATTGTTGTTTCGTCTCTGGGCTCACGCATATCTACTGCACTCTGCAGAGAATTAACATCAAACACGTACCAAGTTCCAGCCCATCCTGTTCTCTTTTTACATCTTCGAGAAGAGAACAAAATGCTCGCACCGTCCGTCGTTGCCCGCAGCCCCACGCTCACGTCGTTGTCAACCCATGACAGTCGTCTCTGGCCTGTCCTTCCTTCATGACAGCGACGAGATCCTAAAGCGCAAGCTTGGTCCCACGTCTTTCACCGTCTTGGCTAGCTCGCGCCTCTTTACTCCTCCACTATCGACCCATAGGACTCTAGCTCGTCTTCAAGCGGATGATGGTATTCCTCAAACACTTGAGAGGAGGCACAATATCGTGCTTGTGGATACGTGCAAGTGGGCAGCTGCTCTCGCCCTGCGACAGGCGGTTCCTGCCGCTTTCATCATTACGGGTCACAGAATGTAGCGGTGAATAAAGAACTACGCGTCGAGAAGGTTTACGCGGAGAGGCTCAAAAGTGTATATCATCTTCAGGTGGGGGATGGGAGGAGAGAGAGAAGGGGGTGGTTCATGAAAAGCTCATCTTGTTTTGGAAATATGATGCGGAGGTAATGCTGAACATGTCACCTCACAATAAGCGCCCATTGGAAGATCTTTTACACGGTAGCTACTTACACGGTAGCTACTTCAGAACTTGTCTCAAACACACAATCTGTAGAATAAAAAGCGCGAAGATAGCGTGAGGCTACAACGACGAAAATGTTGATGACCATTCATCGAGAGTTCTTCACAGATTTGTCTGACCGAAGTCCCTTTTGCCCTGCAATTTTCTCACATCCCACACACGTGCACACACTTCATTTGTTTTCCGTCGTTGGCCCGTCGTTGGCCCATCATTGACACGTCTAGTGGATTCGTGCGTCTGCTTGACTGCCCGCCTTTTGGAAATACCCGTCAACTGCTGTCAAAACTCAGACGCTTTTTGTTTTGCTAGCGGGTCGTTTCTCAACCCCCAAGAGTGGGGCGCACGAGATTCGGAGCTTTGCCATCGCTTAATCTAAGACGAAGACCTCTAGTGATGAAACAATTCACAAGAACAGGGAGCTGTCATCAAAGGGTCCTCTCCGACCTGCAGTGCCTCGGACAATTCTTGACTTCTGTGCTCCTATGCACCAGACTTCCTCGACTAGGCTTAAGCCCAGCTATGCTCAAGTCTTTGACCCCAACATAAATTGTCTCCGCTGATCGCTCTCGTACTGAAGTGAAATTTATGATCAAGATGAAAATACAAGCAGGTCTAAACAGATAGACTCAATCTCATGCACGACCTTGAGCACGTCAATTAGTGAATTTAAATTTCTTTCCTTACCACACACATACCTGAGAAGCAACCCCTTGATGTTCGCGTTGTGGTGCCATGTTTGCCCGCCTGTTTTTTATTAGCTTTCCTTTTCTGTCGCGCCGACCCTATGTTTGCCCGAGTCGTCATCTCGAGTCGTCAGGCATCCACGATCGGATGAAGGTCAACTGATGCAATAGCAACGCTATAAAAGGGAGCAGTGGTAGCTATCCCCAAGCAAATGCAACTCATTTCAGGATCATCAGAGGCGTCGAAATTTGCCTACAGCACTTTTCCAGCCTTACTGCGCTGCGATGCACGGTCAACGGCAGCCACAAGACAACGCTGTTTCACAGAGGAGCGCGAGGAGTGCTTCATTCTTTTGTGAAAGAATAAATGAAAATTTGCAACTGTAAGAGGTCAACCTACAATCAGAAGGTCGCGAACACTTACGGATTTTACTCCTGCAAAAAAGTCTTTCTTTAGAGCGTCCAATATTGCAGCCTCGTTTCTACTTGGTGCTCAAGCAGGAAGAACAAGACCACGCGACAGAGCAGGATGTCGCACCTTTCTCCAAGGACTCTGTTGGTCTACACGCAGACCCTTGCTCATGTTTAGACTCGAGCGGTTGCTCTTGGCGACTGCCCGCTTTTCGATGTAGCGTGAAGCCAGTTGAGGAAGCCGATAGGTAAGTCGTATTGCTCGTCTATCACAGTTAAATAAGTTGCTCAGCATCCCAAGACGCTTCCTGAGCTTGACAAGCTTTATAATCACTGTTTCATTGGTGGAGTCTCACCACCCCTTCAGGGAGCTTGGGACAGAAAGGGTGCTATCCAAATGCAGGCCTTGCCAAAGAGGCCTCAGTCCGACACTTGCGACACCGCTTGCTCCTTTTTGTGAGTTTCTGCCAGACCATCATTGCAGGCCAGCGCCACAGCTCTTAATTTGAGTCCAGCAGCAGAGTGTCACTTCTTATATTCAGGTGTCTGCACGGATCAAGTGCGCTGCTTCCGGCTACGCTTTGATCTGCTTGAGCGCGTTGGTACTTGCTTTCGTAAGTTAACGTATCTGCATAGTTCCACCTTGAAAGCGCACATCGCAACATGAAGTGTCCCCGCAGCAACGAACTTCTTAACTTTCTGTTCGTACTTTCCCGTGATGAATCCTTGTTTTCGCTCCTCGACGAACGCCAATAGTAAGCTTGTGCCGAATGTTCGTCCGAGTTTCTTGGATTTCTATCACAAGCAGAGTCAATTATTATACAGCCAAAGATTGATCGAAAAAACAATGTTCGCACGGAAAAGGCTTTCTAATTCTTCTTTGGGGAGTTCAACACTTTATTTATTCACCAAGCTAAAGCTCTGCAGTGAAGTTCTGCGTCAATCAAAAGCGTCAGGCAAAAACACAGTCCAACTCCCCTGAAATTTCTCGGCAAAGTAGATTTGATCACATTGTATGAGCTCTTAAGAGCTCGCGACTTAGCCTCTGTCCTGCGGTTGAGCTCCTTAATGTACTGTACAGCAGACAGATATACTGTGTGAACTGTTGGCACTACAGCATCTTCCTACACGAAATGTGATATCTGGCAGCTTGTTGGGTCGATCACTCTCCTAGGTAGACGAAAAGCTACTTCGAGCTGTGACAAGAATCAAGGGAGAGCCTTGTCGGAAGTGCTTGGTATCTAGCACTGAGCGCTGTCTCAAGAGACGGTCCGTCTCCGAATAAAGTTGGTGGCATTTTCTTTTTTTCAGAATATCTACGTTTACTCGGGTGACGCTCATCAAAGACGGTAAGTAGCATACAGGTTCAAGGCAGAAGTGTTTGAATCGATTGCGAACATTTTTTGAGCTCAGCAAGATGACTCGCTTCTTGCCATTGGACCCTCTCTTTAGCTTATCGGAGCCTCTTGTTGCCGGTATGCCTGCACTTGCTGGCTGTAGTCTCCATCCGTAGGGGTCTTATAACCCCTCGTCGAACCTGATTCAGAGTGAGACCAGGCCTCTGCTTGCATGACTGCTATGCACGAGCCTGGTGTGCCATGGACAGCGAAATTGTGCCACCAATTGAGGGACATTCACCAAGACAGCATTTGCTTGCTCAGATCTTGAGTCAGGGTCGCAGCAGTAGTATTGCGAGGACACAACATCTGCCACAACAAGGGCAAGCTCCTTACAGCTCCCACTTTTGGTCTGGGCTGTTTGTCTAGGTCTTCAGACAGACCTTTGTGTGCTGGAGATTTGCAAATATCCAGCCAAGGCAATTCTCGGGCGGCGCTATCTCTTCCCAAAATCAGCAACAGCAAGCGTTCAAGACTTGCGCACCAGTAATGATTCACAGGGGATGCTTGAGTGCTGCAGTAGAACCCAAACCGTAAAGCGCACCTCGAAATTGCGTGTAGGTGTACCTCGCCGCCTCTATAGCCCTGGAACGAATGATTCAACTTACATTGGCAATAATACAGCCCTGGCAATTAGTGGAGTTATTGCCCCCAATCACTGGAAAACAATATAGCATCTTGCGATCGGACCGTTCTGGCGAATACAAAAAGAGCTGGGACCGACGGGAAATTCTATTATTGTAACAAGGAAATTGTACTCGAAATCGAAGTGGTTCTAATCCACACGTCTTCCAACTTCCACGTAATCAGGATGACGTAGAGAACGTAGAGCAATCAAAAACCACGTGTCAAAATGCTTTCGCCGGGAAGTTTTAGTATGGTGTCACGTACAACACACCATGCGTATGGTAGCAAGCTTGGTACACGTGTTCGGTCACCACTGTATCGGTCCTGCCTCTGCCCTCCACCGCAATTTGGCCGTAGAAGACACCAAAGCGCTTCATACTTCAAAGCGGTGTTTTTTTTTTTCATCCGGGAAGAGGACATACGTGATGTCTGAAGTACACCTTTCCTGCGACAATTGCAGAACTCGCAAGAAAAGGGTAAGAGATTGATTGTCAGCGAGCGACCTGGGCTTATCTTCTGAAATGGACTTCCCTGCAGTGCGATCGACAGAGGTTAGGGTTAGGGTTAGGGTTAGGGTTAGGGTTAGGGTTAGGGTTAGGGTTAGGGTTAGGGTTAGGGTTAGGGTTAGGGTTAGGGTTAGGGTTAG